ATGATCAGAATTTCAACACACTGAAAATAATTTAAATTATGTTGCCCAGGAAATGATAAATTACTCCTTCTGAACCTCTTCTGAAGGAGGGCATTTAGATCTATAAGTTATCTCTGTGGCTACACACTATCGACTATTAACACATTTTCAAGGGCGCTGAGACGATCAGCAGGATAGCCTGAGGGCAAAGTGGAGGGGAATTGACTTATGCTGGTTGTAAAAATCCCTTAGTAAATCCCAATAAGTCCATGAGGACCTTTACCCAGTGCAAAGGTCTGGTGGCATATTATGCACCTTAAATACGATGGAGGAAGGGGAGCAGACAGGCCCGTTCAGAGTGGGGTCAGCTCTCTCACATTCACAACACAGGGAGGGGAAGGGAGGGACAGAGAAAATAAAGGCAGCTGCTGGCTCTGCAGAGTCCTGGCGCTGCTTCTCTAACCTACAGATGACGCGGGGGGTGGATGGGGGGTTACGTTCCCTACCCGGTGCTTTGGTCAACCTCAGTCCTGTCCCCTGGCTGCCCTTGGGCCCCTGGCGCTCTCAAATCAGAGTCCTTCCCAGCATCCCTCCTCAGCGTCTGCAGCAGATAAAGTCCTCTCTGTTTGGCTCCACCTAGCAAGAAAATACTTTAATCAATAATACAGATGGTCTTGAGAAGGCTTGTAGAGTTATCCAGCAGCCTCAGAGCTGTGATGCACAATGTTGTTAAAGGTTTTCTATTTGTGAAAGCACATATTTATCTCTTTAGTGCTTCTGGATGAAACTAGATTGGATGCATGTGAGCACCAAATAATGTAGGATTTGTTTTTAGTGCTCATTAAATCTAAAACAAAGTCAAAAATCAGCACAGATCAGAAAAATGTGAGGATTGTATTATTAAAAGGTGCAGCCCCAGAGCCTGTTTAAAAAAGCTGCGTGCAGCAGGTTGTATTTCCCAGAGCTTACAACTTGTTTTTTCTTCAGCATCACAACTATGTATGTTCAGCTGAAAAAGCTTATGGCCTCCAAATATTAATTCCGTTTACGTGCTGGGTTTATTGCTGTATCCAATCTAAACACAAAAGTCTGGGGATTTTGCTCTTTTTTCTTCCTGTTTCCTTTTCTCTGTTTGTGTGGCTCTCAGAATGTTCTGTGGATGAACAGGGCTGTTTTTTCTCTCTCTCCTGAATGATCTCAAATGCACCAACGCTGCCAAAGTCTGAGGGTGCCGCAACCTTGAGAAAATCATATATATGGAAATGGGAAATCTATAAAGCGTCTCTCTTATTGTTCTCCCTGCAGTGTTGTATTTATGTTTAAAAAATGATTTTGTCTCCTCAGGATGAAAAAAAAAAATGTAAAGAATACCTTGCTTTTTTTAATGATAATATTTGAGTCTTAGATTTCAAAATAAGAAGTCCGAATATAAAAAAGCTGCAAAATCCTTTAGTCGTGGGGTTTTCACCTTTTGAATGTGCCTACAGCCAAGCATCCCAGTGATTGCTTACCTTTCCCCCCTCTGCAGTTCTGCAATCTCCCCCTAATCTCCCCTCTACCATCACCTTCAATTTGCTCAAACTGCCACTGTCCCCCCATCATCCCAACAACCACATGAGATATTTTGTCTGTTCCCTGCTTTTGTCAATCTCAGGACTGAAATTTCTTTATTTTAATGTAGATGGTTGGTTTTCATTTGACCCCTCCTCTCTTATGTATTATTGTTTGACAGAAGTAAATAAAGAAGATGACTTCCATGCCTGCCTTCTTGCTATAATCATCTGTAGTCGAACGCTTTCCTTCTTTCTTTCTTCTCCCTTGTCTCCTTATCTTTAACATTAATTTGTAAGACTCTGGACGAGACTTTACAGTAATGAAGTTAAGCCCTTTGCACATCAGCGCCATATGCCGGCTCCTTCAATCCTGTTGTTCGCTTGACCTTCACCTCTGCAACACATCACCTGATAGAAAGATGCGTCTTTCAAACTGTTATTTGAGAACAACCTCACCTTTGTGTAATCAAACAATAATGGGAGAGAGAGAGAGAGAGAGAGAGAGAGAGAAAGACAGTACACTCTCTACTGTAAGAATGATTGACATCTCTCCTGGAGCATGACTTGGAGGAACTGTTCTTAAGCAGAGGCAAAGGCTAAATCTCTTTACATGCAATTTACCAAAGTGGCAAAGACGAAGTGTCCTTCATATAATCCTTGACTTCCAAGCCCCATGTCTAAAGGGAATATGCCATTTTCAAATAACCCTTGTTTTCCAAGAATGAAAAGAAACGAGTCCCTCCTGGATGAAAAAGTTTGAGGTGCTCATTGGGTTGGGATGTAGTCATAAATCCAAAGAAAGACTTTATGGCACTTTTTAAACAGCATTGTCATGTAGATTGAACCTAATTAGCTACAAATCACAGTTCAGCGCAGATTTTTGTCACTTTCCGCAACTTCCACTCCTTTGATCCTAATGCCCTAGTGAAAAAGATATCAAAACAACAAATTGATATGTTGTGTTTTAGATTAATTCAATTAATGATTTAACTGTTTATAGTCCACGTTTGAATATCAAGCAGTCGAAAGCCATTGAATTAATGTTTAAAATTAATTGTTTGTGGTATTTTGCCAGCACAACATAGTCAAATTACAAATGCAATCCCTAAAGATTGAGGACCACAACATTCACCCAGTCTAAATGTTTAACAACACAAGTACCTAAGAACCCAATATTGACATTAGCCCCTCTTTTCTCTCCTCATTCTCCACTTCTCCACCCACCTCAAACATCAGATAAGCCATAGACTGATGAGCCAGCCGCCTCCACCAGAGCGTGTGCTACTGGGAGACTGCACACTGATTTCATCCACGCTTGCTTACAGAGCGCTGTGGAGCAGAAATGCTTCTCTTATTAGCAAAACTCATTCACCTGCACGCCACATTGAGTCCATTGCAATCTCACAATATGAATCATGAGAGATGCCTACAGAGGCCTGGCAGCAGCAGGCCAACTCTGAGTGCCCTTGCCTGTCAGTTTAGACACTCTGAATCATTTTGTGTTCAGCAGCCTTGTTTCATCTCAGATGAACTGAAAGGTCATCTCACAAGCAACCTCACCAATATGTCTCCGGCTCCTCGTCTCCCAGTGCTTCCAGTGATTGCTCATTCCAGTTAGAAATACCACACCTCAGTGAAATATTTCACTAGGGATGATGGAAGGAATTTCAAGGATTTATATTAAGGGAAGAAAAATTAGCACCGGCTTCAACCTGCTCCGTGAGTTATCTGTTCTCTTTCAGCCTGGGGATCCATCACTCTCCTCTTTTGCTTTATAATTTGGTTAAATGAGAGTATGACCATTATGTAAAGAGGTTTTTTTTCTCTTTATATCTGGCTCCTGGACCTCAGGCAGACAATAAATGTTGCACTTGAAGCCATCAGACAGTCTGGAGAGTTGTTAAGTGAATAAAGAATGAGTTGTCAGTCTTGTATCCGCTTGAGACTCATCAGCCTAAACACTTTAAAGCTAAACAGGATGGACAATAGCTGAACAATTTGTTCTGCCAATATCTAAGCTAGTTACTTTACCTAAGACCTTTGGCTGAGGCTGTCAACTTTCCCTCGTGTGCCGTTACTAAATGAGAGCTGTTACAACATGAGCCTGCTTGGCTGTCACTTGATTTGTTGAGACACATTTGTAGCAGTGAGCACACACACGCATGCTGCAAGCTAGTGAGCCATTTTGTTAACAGCTCACACTTCCTGTGCAAAGTGTGCGGTTCCAGAGTTGCTGACAGTGACACTTGCAGGACCGAGCCCTGCCCTACTTAACAGGCTGCAGGGAGGAGGGCAGGCCAAGTTGTCAGCAGCGCTAGGTGCTCACTGCTTAGATAAACCTGGAGGATTAGTGGCCCAGTTAAAGTTGGGGCAAAGAGGATTAGCCTCTTCTCTGAGGTGCTGAGAGATTCCCTGTGTCCTTCAGCACTGCCCACCTCAGAGAGGGGGAGAGAGGAAGAGGAGGTGAGAGGTGAGGCCCTTGTTATCGTGAGTAAAAACCAGCACTCTGACATTTAAAAGAGGAAAAGGAAAGGTGCAGTGTAATGATGAAAGGTGAAAGGAAATGAAGCAGTCAGTAAATTGTAGCCAGGTTGTGGTTTCATTAGGAAGGCAAAAACCCTTAATTACCGACCAGGTGTAAGTGGGAGGTCAACCAGACCTGCAGGGATAAAAAAAAAAAAACACTTAATAAATAAACTACATTGTGAAAACTATCGCCTATTATAGTAATACAATTTAGCATCAGCAGAACAATTTGTACTGCTGTTATTAGAATATATCTGTGCTCTACAATGCTTGAGAAGTCACAGCTGAATCGCACGTCTTCTTATAGGAGCGCCACATACAGAACAGCAGAGGAACCCAGAGCTCTGCTGCCACCAGCAGGCCAGAGAAGGAACCACTCATGATAATTAACAGAAGAGGACTGGAAATAACTGTAATGAGTTTTTGAGGATAAGCTTTAATGTGGAAAGTAATGAGTGAACCTTTTGTAAAAAACAAAGCTGAAAATCTTTTTACACCTGTGATGTCATCAAAGCCACCTGGGAAAGATTATATGGCGGTTTTGCCACCAATTAGTAAAGCACCATAAAAATGTTTTTTATTGTTACATACAATTTGGGTTTCAAAAGAGTAAAAGAATATGAATTTTTGATGGTTATGAGATACTATGAACATAAATGGAGGAAGATAAAGGTTTGTCCTAATAAACTTACTATCTTCTTGTTCAAAACAAATTAAAACAAAGCAGATTTTAATATTAATCTATTCTTTCTTTCTTTAGTTTAAAAATAAACAAACAGAAACTATTAATTGTAAATCCGAAATACAGTAGATTTTACTTTTTAATATGAGGCATTCTTGTTCCATCAAAAAGATTCCTTATCTCTTGATGGCCAATTCATATAATTTCAATTAAATGAAAACATTTTCTTTTTGTCAAAGAGAAAATATTTTTGGATAAATAAAATCTATGAAACAATTTAGAACAGATTTGAAAACATCCTCATAAAAAAGATTTTATAGCAAATGTTATACAAATGCGTGCAGTGACTGTTTGGCTTTCAGTCTTTATTGTTCTGTGCAGCAATAGACACACAATATAAAAATCTATAGACATTTGTCTCTATGAAAACAATGTAAACATATTGAACAATGGCCTGTGACCTTCAGCAGTAATGAGTGATACTGAAGATGAACTGTGGGGTTTATCTTCTCTAAATCAAACCCCGTCATGCAGCACAATAACATAGATACATGCATACATACAGTAGTTGTGCATAAACAAGATGCTATATAGGGCAAAGAGCCAATTGCAATGAAAACAATGCAGCAAATAGGGGAAGGCACATAATGGGGAGGCCTGAGAGTTGATTATGCAAATACCCCAGCTGCAAAGGAACAATAACTGTGGAAATTCAAAGACAAACTATAACACGGAAGGCTATTGTCTAGCATTTGCACATTTGCTTGACAACTCTAACCTGCTCATCATGCCCATCTTGTTCGGAACAATGTCTTTGTGTTCGTATAATAATGCACACATCACAAATTGTCATAGTGCATTGTTTCAGTTCAAATGAAAGCTGTGCTGCCTCAGCCGGCAATCGAAGCCCGACACCTTTAAAGTTTTGAGACTATTAATTAATACATAGAAATAAACAAGAAGAAAAATACTTCATAGAATACAAATGTTCTTTTTCTATACACTGAAAGCCATAAACATTTAAATAATGGTTTAAAATAATCCTTAGCGAGCAAATCAAAGCTGATTTCTTTCTACAGGTCCTATGAATATTGATATTGTATAATATTTATGAGAAATTTCTCCCTTTGCTACAAAATCAGTGATTTGCGCTTCTATAAAAGCTTTCGGTAAAACTGCAAATGCAATCATACAGTAATTAGGTTCTTCTTGAAAACAGAAAACTAATGATTCTGTTTTCTGTAAGGCTTAATTGCGCCTTGGAATGCTAAAATATTTTTTACTCTTTTATATCCCTGAGTAATCAGCCACTGATGTCTGAAATATGGAGTTATAGAATAGTTTCTATTCTTTGGTGACATGTAAAAATGACCAAATTACAGCCCTACTGTTTCTTCATTCTTTCTCAGGGTCCATATTTTTTTTAACTGTATTTAGGATATTTTGTAGCTGTAATTTAAAAAAAAAAATCTCATTATACATCCAGTGTGTGTCTATGTGCTTAGTCCTTTAACACAGACTGTCTAACTGTAATATTTATTATACTTTCTCTGAACAAAAGGTACATGAAGTCTGTGCAATGCAGTACAATAATTGGCCAAATAGTCCCCTGCAGAGTGATCCTTCTGATGTTGATTGCTCTCTGCTGCCTCATCATAAGAAGGACAATGTCAGTGCCTGGACGTCAGCGGCTCCATCTCTACCACCAGATCACGACTCCGTGGACCTTTACTTAACTCCACCGCCCGGGGGACCACTGTAGACCAGCGGTCTGGATGGGGATAAAAAAAGATGATGGATTTTCTTTTATCTCTAAGAATACGTAAGTGTCCTCCACATGAATTTTGTGTATGAATGTATTCATGAGAGCCCAGCAAGAATCTCACCTCTCCTCAAGGCTCTGACGCTCTGCTGCAACCCATTGGCTTGGCACGTCTCATTCTTTCCAGGATCCTCGTTTATTATCGCGAGGTTCTGATTCCAGTGGCACCAGTTCACTTCATCCACCCTGATAAAACGAGATACTATTAGGATTGACTGTCTTCTTTGAAGTGTCATAATAGTGCTGAGTGACTGTGATAGTGACTTATGCAAAAATACCTGAAGCACCAGCGTCGGTCAGGTGTGCCGTCGCAGTTCTTTCCCACAGTCACCATCTCCCCAGCTCGAAAAGACTTTCGAAGGCAGACTGGGAAAGAACGCTCGATGTCCAAGATGGTCGTCGCCCACTGTGGATTCACAACGCAAACATGTCTGAATAGTTTTGATGACACTTTCATTTAAAAACGTCTTTCCTTGTGTCTTTGGCGTTTCTTCATCCATCCACAATTAACTGTTTTAAAGATGTATTATTGGGCTTTTTGTGCCATTAATGGAGAGTCAGAAATTAGGGAGAGAGAGGGGAATGACATGCGGGAAAGGAGCCACAGGTGGGATGCAAACCCAGACCGCCCACTTGAAGGACCATAGCCTCCATATGGGGGCGCACGCTCTAACCACTGCGCCACCAGCGCCCCATCCACAATTAACTTTCAGACAAAATGTAATCATGAAACTGTATAGACAGACATGAGGTCAACATTTTAACTTCTAAGGGGAACTACCTTACAATACCTTTTGAAGGATTGTCGTGAAAACTGGTGCATAAATTTAAGTGCACTTCAGAATGAACCGCTTTGTTGATCCCATTACTTATTATCTTTATCAATACTTTGATAAATTCTAGATTTTTCTTTCAACTGCTTCTGGTTATCAACGAACTACAGAAAAAAGGGAACTGATTTCCAGTTAGGCTCAGTTGTAGGCTAGGCAATTTATTATTATGTATTTCTTTTTGCGCAATTTGGAAAATATTAGTATAGTATCATAAAAATCTGCAACATTGGCACATAACGTTGAACTTGTGAAATGTTACCATGCTGAAGTTGATGCTCAAACTTATTAAACTATAAGCACCACAGACAAAATGTGTGTTTTGGTGTCAGCTGGGGTAAACATTGTCCAGTGGAGTTATTTAAGAATCTGGAACAATTTCAAAACAAAACAAAACTCTGCATGCTAGATAAAACAAGAGGTAGTTATAAAACATGTGTTTTCATAATTTGCACTAAAAGCATTGGGTACATTTTACAGATTTATGGATACTGTTCACCACCAACAGTATCTTACAGCTGACCTGAAGCTTCCAGATCTTCTTGCTTTGCTTGGACACCTGTCCAACCGTCTCCCCCATCAAGGCAATCAACATGTTGAGCAGAAGCACAAAGGTGAGGATGATGTAGGTAACCAACAGGATGAGGAAGACTGCAGGATACTGTGCACTGTCGATCATGTCCAGTTCTCCCATCCCAATGGTCAGCTTAAAAAGGTCCAGTAAGAAGTTACTGAAGGTGTCTGGGTCCCTGCACTTGGGGTAGGTTGGACAATCTCCACCACAGTCTGATCCCGGTGGAGGACACACTTTCAGCAGGGACACCAGGGCTGTGGAGTGGAAACAGAGGATGTTGTGTGTTTTTGAGCATCTAAAGGAATGGTGCAAAGATGTGGAAAAAATACCTCTTTGCTCTCTTGTAAATAATTTGATTAGTGTGTCAATACCACTGTCATGTCAGTCATGAATGCTTTAGCTAGGAGATAGTTAGCTTCATACTGAAAGTACAAGTTTTTATGTCTTTGACTTACTATTTTTTAAAAACCTCAATTTGGCAATTTTATAGTAAGAGGTCATCTCTAAAAGCTCTGGTAGATAATACAATTTTCCTTATGGCAGAGCCAGGCAGGTGTCAGGTTAGCCTAGCATGGCCTAAAGCCTCGTGAAAAATTTGCCACTTACTGTTAGCTCAAGGTTATGTGGATAGAGTGTGCTTAGCTTAGCATAACACTGGAGACGGGGAAAGTTAGCTTTAAGTAGCAGCTCGATGATAAGCTTTATTTAGAACAAAAACTGGGAGTAGGAGAAACAACCTGTTTTCTTTAAGCTATCCAAGCTAAAGATCTCCCAGCATTAATGTTAGCTTAATCTTTATGTTATCTGGCATATATGAGATAGTTATTTATATATCTATTACAAATCTGTCCAAATATATGGAACCATTTATTGAAATAATGCTGACACACCTTAAAAAATTAGGTTGGCCACAAACCTACCTGATGCATATCCAATCATGAAGAGCACGTACACCAGCAGAAATCTGAAAAGGTCTTTGAATAGAATCTGAGAAGTACAAATGAAATTAGCATTAAGCAATATTGAATGGTGCTGTTGAAGGTTGATTTATTTTCTGTAAAAGCATCTCTAGTATGTCACCTTTTGTATCATGATGCTGTAGGTTCCAGTGAGCTTCAGGCCTCTGGTGAAGTAAAGAGTGTTCATCCAGCCCAGGACGAGTGCAAACACCATCACAGACACGTAGGCCTCAATGCCAGACAGGTAGAGAACAGCAGTGACCATAATCAGAACTGAGTAGATGAAGCTAGAGAGGACAGAGAAAAACATGTTTTTAGATTAAATAAAGTCTGTGACACAGAGGCAATACATGAAAGCATAAAGACATTTTTACCAGAGTATAGACATCACAGCCCTTTCTAATGATTTACATCAACATGGTTCATAGAGGTGCTTAGGAATCTCTGCTCTTTGTTTATATTGTGTTTAATGAGAGACGTAAACTATAAAACATGCCAAGGAGGAGGTTGAGGAATTAGTTAGATGACTTAATTAAAATTTGCCTCAAGTAAAAGTCAGCAGAAGCTAAAGCAGAGGTGAGGAAAAGGGGGCGCAAGGACAGAGACTTACTAAAGCAGTTGAAAAGATCCATCAATGAATAAAGACTTCACCCCAGGGCACTTCTTCAAGAAGAGGTCCTTAATCTGCAAAAAGCAGGAGAAACATTTGTACAATCACAACAAAAATAGAGGTTACAAGTTTAACTTTAAGGCCTCAGCCTGTACTGACTCACATTGGTGAGGAAGAAGAAAATTCCTGATGCCAAGGTGATAATCTCACCCACCATACGCAGGTAATCAGAGGACGTTGTGTAGGTGTATGGAGGCTTGACGGACACAAGAGGGTGATAATCATTTAGATTGGTAGAAAAGCTGATAAGGGTATTTTTGAAAACTTTGAATTACTCCTTTGATAAAATGAAGTGAAGGTTGAAAATTCTGAATACATGTTTGGTACTTTTCATTCTGCTGCCACGTTATATGTGGAACTGTTTTATGCTATTAAATGTATTTAATGCAGCCAATAACAAACAAGTTCACTTTTTTACTTAAAAGGAAAAATGAATGTAAAAATACATGATCATGTGGTCTCCAATGTTGCATGGAAACAATTTCAATGCTTTCTTATCCGGAATCACTAATCCAATCCAAAGCAATCTGACCACACTTCAAAGTGTCTTTATTTAGTTTACACCCACTGTTCCCTGTGTTGGGTGGTAATAAGCCACTAGAGTGAAGATGATCATGGTGATGAGGTAGGAAACCACACTGATGTAAAAAGTGACAGCAGCAAACTTCTGCCATTTAGCCCTCAGCAGCTCGTTGATGGGCTCCACGGCCAGCATCTCATGGCGATTCTGACAACAGGAACAGATAACATGACAGAGAAAATAAAATTAAAGATGAAAACCTCCTGGTTTAAAAAAAAAGCTTTATTTGTCTTATATAAAATAAACTTTAAAACACAATTAATTAACCTACCTCATTGCGACTGTTGTAAACGAGGATTTCCAGCACCGATGGTTCCTCTCCACATGTATCCAGAGATGACAGATCATAGAGGGACGAGTACACGGGCCCGTAAGCCCAATCCTTGAACTTGCGTGACAAATGACGAGCTTCCTCATCTTTGATCTCACGTCTGATAATGTGCTGGAAAACCTGGAGGAACAAGAAGAAGTTGATCTATGACCTGAACTTAAAAATCGTATAGCCCGTAGAAAAGAATTGATGAGAACTTTTCTTATACTGATGTTTCATTTCCTCACCCCTATCTTGCCCAGCTTGGCGGCCATCATGAGAGGTGACATGCCGTCGTTGTTGAGCACAGTCTCCAGGCTGCAGTCTGGGTACAACTTGGCACTCTTGATGAGCAGCAGGTCGTACATCTTTGTGAGGAAGCGTGTGTTGTCCTTGGTGTTGTCTGCGATGTGCACCAGGGCGTGCAGCACTGTGTTTCCACGTGTATCCTGGCGTCGCAGGTCGGCTTTTTTGTGTGGATTCTCAGTCAGGTAGTGCACAATGTCAGGCTGGTTAGTGCATGCAGCCAGGGAGAGTGGCAGCTCACCTGCACAAAGAGAGAAAGGGAGAGCGCTCACTTCACACTGAATTCACGGGAGATTAGGGGGAACTGTATTTCAGATTAAATATAAGCAAATCAACAGGAGGGTTAATTAAGAACTGTAGCTGGTGTCTGTATGTTTTTGCAAAGCATACTAAACATGGATCAAAGAATTGACTTAAATCCCCGCTATGAAAACAGCACAATTAGCAGTTGTTTGAAGGAGGGGCGCAATGGGGCCAGAGTGCCAAAAGCAGCTGCTGAAAATGAGCCGTTGCCATGGGTGACAGATTACTTTGTCACCTCACATAGAAACGCTCCTCTTCATGGATTTGCACGGGTGCATGCAGAGTGTTAGCGTGAGTCTAAATCCCATTAGCCGTCAGCCCTGCCAGGTTCCTGTTCACCTCGCTGCAAAGCTCCGCAGCAAATTACACACACTGTGCCCGGACACGCTGGGATTTGGGAATGACAAGCTTGCTAAGTGCAAATAGAAATCATCTTCTATGTGATGAGTGAGGAATATAACGCATGAATGTTATCAAATGAAGTATTCTCAAAATGAGGTAAGGTCAGAAATAAAACAGAGTCCATAACAAGCCATGTCTATCTTATCTCAGTCTTTTTGGAGAATTACACTAAAATAAATAATTTGCCATCACAAGGTTGTTATAAGTACAAACCATTCTCTCTCTGGGTACAGCATGTGGTCATGTTTTAAGATGCCTCTTCACTGGCACCAGCAGAGGGCAGTGTTGAGTATGCTTTACAGTCTCTGATCTGTTTTTTTTCTCTTGCAGGTCAGTGAAGTCCTGCCCGGAGGAGGGTCTACAGAGGATGTTTTCTTCCTTCACTGCAGAACACTAACACCTTTGACTGAACACGCCTTATTAAAATATTACATAATGCTTTTCTTTTCATGTGTTTTTGGAGCACCACTAATGACTGTTTCTCGTACGATGCTTCAAAAAGACATTTGGGTGCACGTTGGACTTCACCCCTGGATCACATCTGTATCCTGAGTTTTTACAGCCAAAGCCTGACACGTGACAATAAGGAGAAAGGTTGGATCTAATGTCACTCCATCTGTCCATGGTACAGATGTGCCTCTGCCAGGACAAGGCCAGAACGGTTTCATATTTACAGCTTCTGCAGAACACATCAGAAAACTTTGGTATTACCTTGTTGATGTAAAAGGCAGAACAACCACTTCTGAGCTACACATGTGTGGAGCTGAAACAGTGAAGAGTGAAGTCATATAAACCACAGACACACCATGTTATTATCAGCATATAAGGCGGAAAGTATAGGAACAAATTTTAAGCTCTCTGTACAACTGTGGAGGGCATTGCACTTAGTTGGTTTTATTCTATCTTTTAAACAGAACCTTGGCGGTCACCGAGGGTAACCACTCAATCTCCACCTTCTGTTTTATATTCGATTTTAGGTCCACTCCAATTTCCAAAATCAAATCAATTCTTCTGATGTTTTGCTCTCACCTTCCTTTATTACTTTTATTGAACTTCTAATATATCTTTAACAAATCTGTTTTTACCTTTATTTGGATTTATTTTTCTCTGGTGTGATGTCGCCTTCTTCTTCTTCCTCTCATAATCTTTAACCTTCTCATGATCATAAATGCTTGTGTAATTGTTACTGCTTTTATTCTTTTAATCACTTCTTTGTTTCTGCCATTCTTCTTCATTCTCTATTTGGACTTACTTTTTATGCTTGTTCTGTTGTTTTACTGAAATCCTGCCTTTGGTTTGTTTGTCAAAATCATCTGTTTTTAAAGGTGCTTTATAAATAAAGTTATTATTATTATCATTACTATTTGTTTTATTACTCCAAATAAAGTTAACGCATAAGGTTTGCTAAACACAGAATACAGAGGAACATTGAGCGTGTCTATTTCTGGACTAAAGGAATGTGCAGACAAAGGTCATTACCAAAGTAGAAGTAGCCCCCCTCATTTCTCGGCTGGAAAAAGCGTCCCCTCGTAGGAGCGTGAACATCAGCTCCCTGCTCCACCAGCAGCTCCACATACTGCTTACTACGGCGCTCGATAGCAATGTGAAGCGCTGTCTGGCCTGATAAGACAAAAAACAAACACAACAAAACTAAAAGTTTGAGCTATTAAAATACTCTTTAGTGCCATTTATATTTTCTTTGTCTTGAGAAACTGGTGCCTCAGTATGAGCTTGGGGATGGAGGTCATTAAAAACAGACTACAAACTATAAGGGGCTTTAGAGACTTTTATAGCAACTTTTCTATGGGTTACAAAAAACCTAAAAAAAACCCCCTAGCCCTTAAAACATTTTTATGACGTCACATATAAATAGTTTCCTCAATGAGCAAAATGTCGATTTTTTTTTTTAAACCAACCACCACACTTGTAAAAACTTCACAAATGAGGTAAGAGGTGAAAAGCTAGACATGGAGAAAACAACGTAAAGCAGCACCACAGTTTCTCTTACAAACCTTTTTATGTTATTATGTTTTTATGTTCCTTATATGTTTCTTCACAACAGTGTTAGTGTTGGGAGTCAAACACTTAAGATCTGGATCCTCTCATTTACAGATCCGTAATTGTTTCCAGTGCTTTTCCCCATAACTGCCCCACCTACAGTATCAGCCAGAGGAGCTACAGTAACCATAAACACAACACTACTGTGGGTCTGCCAGCTAACACTCAAATCACATTAGTGTATAAAATTAAAGATTTATTCATCAAAAATACGTTTTATTTACCTGTATTGCTTTGATTACTGGGTTAATAAATACCTCTGTAATAGACGTCCCTGAAAGGTGTGTTTATAAACTCTCGGAGGTTTCCAGTCTTCTCCGCGATATCCACCAGCACAG